AAAACAAACAAAGCTACCCCCCAAACGCACACACACATATATCACACAAGATCACACTTATGTCAAAGCTTAACTAATCTGTACTGTAACCTGAAGCTCTGATCTTATTACCAGTTCTGAGGCCATGTAGGAGATAGAGGCCTGAATCTTATAAATACTGTAAGGAGAACAAAGATGCACTTTTCATCTCTAGATCTGAAGATGTAGTTGATGTAAGCAGACTTCAGTGAGATCTGAGCCTTATGGGCAGCTCTAAAAGAATAAAGTCTGGGCTCTGCTGGACTAGAGTCATCATATAATCCTTGGACTTCTGCAGCTAAGCAGCAGGTCAGATGTTTTGCTATAAGCTATGGTTACCATGTTTCTAAGCAGAGAACCCCAGGCAGTTATATGCACGAGTATTGCTACACAATATATAATGCTACCATTTCCAGGACAGACTTAAGGGCTTGTGCAGTGTTGTAAAAGCCATTTCATACCACATAGCTGCCTAACCAGTACAGGGATAACACACCAAGCTTCATGTTTCCATAAGAGGTTTCTGTAGAAGTTTTAATGCAAGACCTACACACTGACAGCATCCAGAACAGTCCCAAAAGAGGTATGGTATGAGAAAGGAGTATAGTCACCTGATGGAGCATCTGAATCAGTCTGCTCAGATAAAAACAGGAACATCTGCATTTCTGTAGGTTATGACCCCTTTGTTCCCACCCACCCCAGCCCTATAGGGCTATATAGCCCTATTCATACCCTTGCAAAGTTCTCCGTCCTGATGCAGACTCCATGCCTCTGAATATATTGGAGGAGGAACTGATTGATGGTTGGCACCGTTAAGTCAAAAGCCAGCACTTTGAGAAGCAGGTGTTCCATTTTCAGCAGCTGCCTCTTTGTGTATGTATCATCCGTTATGTACACAAATTCATCTACTTCTGGTGGGTAAATCTCCTCATATTTCCTAAAAAAAAAAAAAAAAAGTAACACTGGTCAGCTTGAAATAGTGATAAGTTTTCCACTGGATCCACATTGGAATGGAAATGTGGCATGATTATAGGAGAATCATATTTCAGCTCTTGCAGAATATTCCACTGGGATCATATTTGGAAAGCAAAGGTGTATACAGGGACTCCAGGCAGGTAGTCCAGATAGAAATAGTTAACATTATTGTTAGAGTCTCTTGACTAATAGCAAATTCTTACATCCAAAGAGTCCCAATCGGAAGCACTTCCAAGCTCCGTTTGATATCCTCTTTCAAAGAGATTGCCACTTTGAATGTACTACTGCCTTATAGCCAAAAGCCTGTCACTGAAGTGTTCTCCCACATTTCTTGCTTCTGGCTTTATGGTTATAAAGTTTTCTTGATTGGTGGGAGCATTAGACATTTAATTTTGTTAGTGCCAGAGCTGCTCAAATCGCTGTTCTTAAGAATCGTGACAAGCTACCTGTTACTGCAGGCTTCAGTCCTTCAAATTAAACTAAAAATAAGTTATGGCCTACTGAGATTTCATGAGATGATACCAACACTTACGCAGCCAGAAGAATTGCTGCTGTTCCTACAAGTTGCAGCTTCCCTCTGAGGACAGACATGCAGGAAAGAAACCTGTCCAGGAAGTTCACGGCCAAGTACAAGGTCTCTGTCCGAAGTTTGTACTCTTCCCCCACTTCCACAAGCCAATCTACCAAGATAGCACGCATTCCTGTTGTGATATCTGGCTGCTTTCTCATATAGTAGGGCTTGGGCCTGTATTTTACCTGCTCAGAGAGAAAGGGGAAGATTTAGGACACTCATCTGAAGATTGATAGCAGAGCTGATTGATGTTTTTGAACTACTTTTGACCTACTAATACAACAATTGATAATTAGTACAATTGCCTAGCTGTAGTTAGTTAATAGTTGTATTAACCATTAATTAAACTACTTATGGGAGGAGCTATTTCTCCAGTGAACCCTAAAAAGAGACAGGAGTAATGTGTTGGTAGCAGAGTACTGAAAGACCTCCTGGACATTGAAGCTGGGCTGCAGAGTAACATCTGAAAGATTAATCACAGTTTGAAGCCAGGGTCATAGGCAGCTCCTCAGGGTGGTTTTTGCTACCTGTCTTCTCCACCTTTGCAGCTCAGTGGCAGTCTAGAGTCACCTTGGCACAGCAATGCAGCTTTGCAGCCCATCACAGAGTCCACAAACTCCTTAGTATTATAAGGCTGTAACAAGCCACTCACTTCAGCTTCTCGGAGGTACCGATGGATGTCTTCTGCATACTCCCCCACAGTCATTACAGTTATTGCATCTCCCATCTGATCCTCAGGTTGGGTCTGGAAGGATGTGTCCACCAGCATAGGAGACCCTGACAAGTTAGAGGAGTGAGCAACACATTGAGGTATTAAGCTAGTCGCTAGCATCACAATTCATAGCTATCTCACATGGATCTATGCTACATATGGTCAGTAGTTAAGAAGTTACCTGTACTCAGATCCAACAGTAGGTGAATATTGGATGTCATTGCACTAGTATCCAGTTCACACAGGCTAGACTCCAGCTCTTCCACCACTGGGTAGTTGTAGTTTTCTTTCTCTTCTGGTTCATCAATATATATAGAAAAGCCTTGCTTTGATGCAGCATTGACCATGCAGGCAGGCAATTCATCTTTTCCAGAGGGAGGGAAGTTTTCAGAGCCGGGGAAGTGTCTGAGAACTGTTGGACCCTGAAACAGAGTACATGGCAATGCTATAGGAGGGTAATTCCAAAGGCAGTAAGTATACCCTACTTTAGGGAGGAAGAGGAATTGCTTTTCTTGGCAATATGGGCACAAAAACAAAGAAAAAAAATCTAGAAATCAACTGGGAAAATGAAGAAAAAAAAAAAAAAACCCTCACAGCTACAAGGGGTACTTCATAAGCCCTGTTTGCTGTAGTCTTGCTGCAATAGAGATCTCATGGGGAAAAGGGCACGTACTGACAGCTGGGAGCCAGGTGAGTCCCGAATGGCCTCCTCTCCACTGCTGACAGCAGAGAGGAACCAGGTGAGGCCAGAAACAGGCAGCATCAAATGCAGGGTCTGCTCTGCACATCGTGTCAGCAGAGCCTGCCTGTTCTGGAGCACACCAAGCTAGAGCAACAGCAGGAAGCTCTCAGAGGCTACCACAGGCTCCTGAAAGGCTCCATTTGAAGAAGAGCATTTTGCAGAGTTACAAACCAAACTTAGCACTTGGGGGCTCAACCACCACAACATTCAAAGTCTATATGTGACAAAGATGTGGAGTTCAACATCATTTACCATTAGTAAAACTCATCTGAGTTAGGGGCTTTAAACAGTCACGACTGCAACGAGCCCTGGTAGAAGCAACAGCCACTGCCCTGGGTCCACTCGGCTGATTGCAGAAGGAGGCACGGGAGGGAGGCCCGGGAACACGGCTCTCCTGCAAGCTCTAGCTTTCCAAACGCCCTGGCTCCCGCAGGAACGGGCCCTTCGGGCAGCAGGGATGCAGCCCATACCCCGCGGCACTTCAGGAGCACCTCACCGGCAGCGCCTCCCCGGA